TGAATTGTCACCCTTGTTAAATAAAGCTATTACATTTGCAATTTTCCAGCTAGATGGATACGTTCACTGCTGTAATGGTTTATTAAATATCATACTTAGTGGAATTGCAATTTTGTCGGGACAAATTTTGAGTATCTAATGACTTATGATGTCGGGACCTGGTGCTTTGTTGGGATTTAGAAGTTTGATGATATCAACAATTTCATTATTATTAATCGCTTTATCTGTCAATAGATTGTAAGTTTTTTCTTCAAAATCGGGTAATAGCATCAATTCCTTCCAACGAAGAAATACTTATTAAGGAGGTCGCATTTCTCGTCGTCGCCATAGGCAAATTTATCAAAACTGTCATCGTTTAAAATATTTTGGAGTGGGGTATATTACAAGAACCTTGATTGGGTTAAAACAGCATCTTCATAATTTTCCAGTAAGTTTTAGGATTGCCGGCATTATCTAATATTATATTTTCCAATTGTTTTTTCCAAATTTTCTTTTTTCATATTATTCACTTTGTTTCTCTGTTTTTTATATGTATTAGTATCGGTTACTTTTTTAGATTTGAATGCCTTTTTTCGAAGTACATCTCTTGTGCGAATTGATTTTCTAATTTTATTATTGAACCAGGGTTTATCGTTGCCACGTATTGTTACAATTTGAGTTGGAATGCTCTCTCTTGCAATGTCAATGTTTTAGTAAATATACTGACCAATTCATCAACGTCCTGAACACAATAAAAGAGTTCATTCCAATCAACTGAATTTAAAATGTTATTAAAAATATATATCTACGTTTGCTTTTTCATACAGCCATATTTCCCTTTTGAACGACTTTGTTACAAATTTTTGACATTGTAAAAAAATAATTGGAGCATAGTGATCACTAATGTCTGTAGGTACGCTAAGTACATCCGAAAAAGAAAACTGCATTGCATCACTTAGAATGATCTGATCGAGCAATGTGCTACTGTGATCAGTTACCCTTGTTGGTTTATTAATTGCATTATTAAGATTAAAATGATTGATTGTATCATATAATTTATTGTTGTTATAAGAGAATAAATCCGAATTTAAATCTCTAGAAATCACAATGTTTTGAGAAAACTGATAACCCAGTTAAATAGCAAGTCGTGTCCAATATTCGACACCTGACCAATCGGGTCTGTAAGTACAGCATAATGCAAATTGTTGACCTTTACCTCTGATCTCGACCCATAAAGTCTCGTCGGTGTGGTTTTCGAGTACACCTTTTCTGGTAACTAATATATAATCTTTACTATATATGAGTATACCACCACCGGCATTATTTCGATCTTTACGGATTATATTTTCTGAGAGGAAATCCATTATTAGTTCATCTTTATTTATATTTGAATCTAAGTGTGTTTCAGTGACTGTTACAATATCGAACTCTTCAATGAAATTTTGAAGGACCCAATTTTATTTCTTAGACTACGAATGTTAATGTTGCATATTGAAATTGAGTTATTAGAATTACCGGAATGGTCAGTGTCATTTCTTGGACCGGGATTTTGTTCAACATTACCAATTATAAGAATAAAATGCAAAACAAAAAGTAGAAATATAACATTTATATTCGGATCAAGGCTCTGTAACAAGGTCAAGGAGCCAACGATAAATGTACAACGAAAATTTGTAAGTAGTATTCCTTTAAACAATTCTTCGTTAAAATCAATATTAGCTATTGGGAAGAACGGTATTTGCATGTATTGAATAACCTATGGCTACCCTGTACTGTTCAATAAAATAACCTATTAGGAAAAAGTACAACAATCATATATCTATCAAAAGACAGGTAGCCATTCAGGTAAAACAAAGGTAAACAAAGACCACATACATCATCATCTAAAATAATACATAAATAATTCAGATATACACGCAAAAAACAAAAATACATTACAAAGAAAAAAAAGGAATTCATTTTCAAGTCTGAGAACGGAAAAATTTAGTTCTAATTTTACTTGTAAAACTCACATGTACTTTTATACTGTGAACAATAGTAAAGTCTCTGTTTTATATCTAATCTGTCTGTGACAATTAAAATCTTACAAATTTCCATTTTTTCTTAATTCATTTCATCTGAATATTTTAATTGCAATTTTGTATACACTAATGTTCTTGGTCGATTTTTGAAAGAAGTAGAAAGACGCGACTTGAAGCTGACTTCTAACGCATTGACAACATTATTGTATTGGACATAAGTATCAATATTTGTAAAGACGATAACATTTTTCGAATTCACAATTTAATCCAATTATTTTATAATTGTTCATCGTGTTATAAGACTAAATTGTTTGTTGAATTTTTTTGGTCGGTGATTAGACGATGCTATACTTTTTTTCACCACAATCGCTTTCAGGATCGTATGGTTGTAGAAAATCAATAAAGTATTACGCATATGTTGACTAGAAAAATGTGTACCTGTATCAAAATCTGGAGAGGTTCGTTAAAGGTGATCCCGTAACCGAGTAAAAGGATCTATACATGAATATATTCATATAAGAAGGGTAAAAAAACACGTTTAAACAGGATAGTCAGTTGAAAAAGTACCGAATCAAGTTATATAATAGAAATATATACATTTAAAATGTAGATTAGTTTATTATTTGTAATATGATAAAGTGTGGGATCATTTAATGGGATTTTATGTAAATTTGTTTACATTACCCATGTATAGGTCGGATTTAATAATGAGGATACGATCTTCAATTACTTCATTACTAAGCTTTTTTGCTTTTGTTTTATAGGGAAGACCCTTGAGTATTTTACATATTTTCGAATTATGATCGGAAATCGCAAATTTTGTTATGTATTTTTTTTTTTTTTTTTTTTTGTTAGCATACTTTAATACAAAGATACCAAATGAATAGTTTAGCAATTTTAAGAATACGTTAAAGGAAAGTTTTTATATACATAAGAGACATTTAAAAAAACAAAAGAAAAAAATTAACTACTGTTAAAGACATATAAAGTCAACTTTTGAATTGTCACTAGTTACTTTACAATGATGTATTGGTCTTACTTAAATGTAAACAATCCAAAAGCCAGGTTAAAATTATTAGAAAATATGGATAATCAAAGTATGGTTGACCCATACAGGGAACTATATCCAGATAGAAGACGTTACACTTGGAGAAACAAGCCACCACTGAAACAGTCAAGGATGGACTTCTTTCTCATATCTGATGTGTTATTACTTTCGTTAAAAGATTCATATATAAAATCAAGCTATCGATCCATTCCATTATAGTTTTGCATTTAGTATTTAATGATTTCAAAAGGGAAAAAGGACTCTGGAAGTTTAATAACTCGTTGCTTTTTGACCAAGAATATTTAGACACAATAAATATAAAAATTGAATATATAAAAAATCAGTATTCTGCTAATCCACATTCAGAAAAGCAGAACATTATGAATTCAGTTTTTTGTTTTGAAAACCCTGTTAATGGAAATAAAAGGTAAAGCTATAGCATTTAGTAGCTACAAAAAAAGAAAAGAGAGGGATACAGTAGTAAATCTTCCAAAGAGATTCAAAGGGCAGAAGAAAACAGCAATACTGACTTCCAGAGTCTTAAGGAAAAAAGAAGAACTTGAAGATATTAAAGGGAAAAAATTAAGAGGGAGTGTACTAAAATCCAAGTCATCATGCATCTCAGAAGGTGAAAACCTAGTGAATATTTTTGTAATTTGGAATCTAGAAACTTTACGAATAAATTATTCCTAAAGTACAAAAAGAAGATGGAGAAATGATTAGTAATCAAAAAGATATTCTCAAAGAAGTTAAACATTTTTATCAAGAGTTGTACTCAAAAAAAAATATTGTTACAGATAAGATTAAGAATTTAGATACTGATTTTGATAAATGCAATGTTCACAAATTAACAAATGAGGAGTCAGATAAGCTAGAGGGTCCCTTCTGTCTACATGAGGCATTAAATGTTTTAAAAGCAATGAAAAATGATAAAAGTCCCGGATCATCAGGTTTTACAGCTGAATTTTTCAAAGTTTTCTGGGGAAAAATTGGTCCGTTTGTTGTAAGATCCATAAATTATTGTTTTGAAAAAGGTCAACTCTCAATTACGCAGAGACAAGGTATAATCACATGTATACCTAAAGGTGACAAACCACGACAGTTTCTTAAAAACTGGAGGCCAATTACTCTTCTAAATACTTCTCACAAAATTGCATTAGGGTTATTGCCAATCGATTAAAACAAGTATTGGGAAATTTGATTGATCCTGATCAAACTGGTTTTGTTCTAGGTATATTTATAGGAGAAAACACAAGATTGTTATATGACTTGATGCAAATTGCAGAAGAAAAAAACATACCAGGACTTTTCCTATTTGTCGACTTCGAAAAAGCTTTCGATTCATTATCATGGGATTTTCTACAAGAAGTATTAAAATTTTTCAATTTTGGACAATCTATTCGAAATTGGGTGAGAATTTTCTACTCTAACATTCATTCAGCTGTAAACCAAGGGGGTAATTTATCAGATTTTTTTTTAATATTGAACGGGGTTGTAGACAAGGTGATCCGCTTTCTCCTAATTTGTTTATATTGTGTGCTGAAATACTAGCTATTAAGCTTCACAACAATAAGAAAATAAGAGGCTTAAAATCTACTAGTTTTGAAAATAAATTGTCTCAATTTGCTGATGATACTGCTATTATTTTAGATGGATCTGAAGAATCTCTAATGGAAAGCGTGAAAGACCTTAATTATTTTTGGGAAATCTGAGGTTTAAAAATTAACTACAGTAAAACCCAGGTTGTATGGATTGGCAGTATGAAATACAGTCAAAAAGTACTTTGTACTAGCTTAAACTTATCATGGGGTAAAAGTAATTTTTCGTACCTTGGAATAGACTTTGATGTAGATTTATCCAAGATGATACGATTAAATTATGATAAAAAATATTGGAGATTGAATCTCTTTTAAAGCAGTGGTGCAAGAGAAACCTAACTCCAATTGGGCGTATTACAGTGTTAAAACATTGGCATTCCCAAAGCTTATCCATCTGTTTTCATCATTGCCAAATCCGGACTACAGAATCAATCAAAAACTTAATAACTTGTTTTTTAGTTTTGTTTGGCAAAAACCAGTTGGTAAAGTTTAGAGAGAAACATTAGTGAAAGATTATTTGGAAGGGGGTCTAAAACCTTTCATAAATTCACTGAAATCTACATAGGTTTGAAGGTTGATCAATAATAAAAAATTACAGGAAATCCTTGCTTTCCACAGGATTGATTTTGATTTACTAGAAAATACAGGCGTCAAAAACATAGAAAATAGTATGACTGTACAAATCAATTTTGGAAAGATGTTTTGAGTGCCTGGAAAGAAATTATTGCTGTAAATATTGAATACACATGGAAATATTTTTTGAATATGCCTTTATGGTTTAAAGAGAAAATTAAAATAGAAAATGATGTTGTTTTTGTCATATAGCTCTTCAACTGTTTCGGTACTTATACATCCTCGGATTTCAAATGTTTGGCTTTGAGCGTTCCTGATGAAGGTAAATCCAGAAAAGCGCTTCGGACGCATGAAATTATTAAACGTGTTGTTTTCAATTTTTTTGTAAATAATTTATTAAATGAAGCTGGAGAATTTTCTTCCCTGACCAAATTCCAGGAGGTGTATCACATACGTACAGACTTTCTGAAATATTATGGCTTAATAAATTGTGTTACACAGTATTCCCAAAATTTTGTTAAAAATGCTGCATCTCCAATAAAGAATTGTTACCCAAGCATTCCTAACAATATCAAGATTTTTTTAAATATAAACAAGGTTCTAAAGATATGTACTTCATACTGAGAAAAAATCATACTCTACCAACAAATAAAAAGAAAATTATGGAAAAGTTTGGTGTCACTGATGATGAAATGAAACTCATTTATAAACTTCCATTTAAAATTACACCAAATAGTAGAGCACAGTGGTTCCAATATAGGATAAACCACTTAGTTTTGACTACTAATTATTTCCTGGAATAGATAAAACTTCTACATATCCCTCTTTGTACGTTTTGTAATATACAACCAGAAACCATTATACACTTATTGTGGGAATGTGGAGAAGTACAAATTCTGTTGGAAGTTTTTGATACATGGACTTCATCTACAGCACACATAACAATTATAATTGTAAGACTTTTGTATTTGGTATTTTTGATGTTAGAAACTGTATTGTACAAAATAAGATATTACTTTGTATTAAATATCATATCTATTCATGTCGATGATTGGAAAAAGTTCTATCACTACAGGCACTCAAACAAAAGTTAAATGATCTGTACTGTACTGAAAAAACTGTAGCTATTTTTAAACAAAAACAAGAACAGTTTGAGAGAGAATGGAATAACTGGCACTTTCTGTGTTTATACTGAAGAACAATCACACAAATACATGAGCCTTTTGTTTTTTAAATTTGCTAATGAAACCTATAAATCTGGCTCATTTCTTTCCATCCGTCTCGAATCAAGTACCATTTAAATGCAGTGATATATAGAGCAAATCATTGATGACTAATTTTCCTTCTTTTTTTTCTAAAAATTTCAAACTTGTTTTTCGATTTTTTTTTTTTTTAATTTTGACAAATTTTTTTTTTTTTTTTTTTCTTTTAATTTCCTATCCCAATTATTTTTTTCTTCTTCAAAATTTTACTATAGAAATAAAACAAAACATAGACAAGTTAGTTTGCAGCAGAAAACTCAAACTGTTCTTAAGAAAATAGTAATTGTAAGAATTGTTAAAGTTAACTTAATTATAGATATTTGACATTGTATTATCTGCACTGTAAAGAATAATTTATATACCTTTGTATATTATCAGCATTATGCCTTATGTGTTTTGAAAAAATAAAATAAATATAAAAAAAAATCTTGTCTTGGTCTTCAGCGTGGCTGCGGCTGTGGTCATTGTTGGAACAATCTGGACTTTGTTCTTGATTCTGACGATCTGTGCTTCTTTCAAGAGCTTTGATATCATCATATTTTGTGATAAGCTATTTGCTGCTGTTCTCATTTTTTTTTTGGCAAAGATACTACCGTCGGAAGTCCAGTACGTATATATTGTGCGGTCTAAGTACAGATCTGAGAGTACTCGCAGTTACTGACAGCTAGTTCAAAGCTAATAACAACTAATGAAAATAATCATGCATCTAAGACTAAAATATCAATCAGTACACATCCAACATCCTGCCGTCAAGCCGGTAACTGATATAAAATGCGCACGGGAAACTGTTTATAACTTACAGCTACTACACTATATGTTGACAAAATGAAGACCTCTAACCGAACAAGACATCCTTGTCCTCAAAGAAAATGGTATGGATGGATTTTTACAGAATACTGCATATTGGCCGAAAATAAAAAGAATAAAGAAAAAAGACCAAAAAACATTAAGAATAGAAAATAATGTGGTGCAAAATAAAAAAATTATTAATTTTAATACTGATTACAGAAATGAATAATGTACAGAATAAAAAAAATTATCTAATTACAAAAGTCACAACAATGATTTGTTGATAAGTATAAAGCAAATGACATTCGAAACTGAAAGATTATTATCAATATATCAAAATGCACCCTTCCAATCCTTTCAACACATTAGTGTTTCATATGCTAGATGTCAGTACTTATATCTTCGAATCTTGTTTAACATATCTTAGTTAATGTACTTCAAACTTTTGACATTTAATGAGTTTTTTTTAATAAAACTAGACCTTCACAAACTCCTCAAAAAATCACATTGAAAACATTATCATGGACAAGTCGGCTTTTAACAGTTCATTGAACATTTTTCAGATCAGACCAGACCTTTTATGTAATAGTTATCTTTTTTTTTTCATTACAGCAAAATGCTATATTTTGTATATACTTAATTTATATTAGAAATATTTAGTTCATTGATGCACAACCTTGTATTACCAAACTAATAGTTATGTTTGTACAGTTATATGATAACTACTGAACAGATCTTAATTGACTCCAAGGGAATCAATTGTCAAAATATTAATGACTAAAGCAAAAGCAGGGGGTTTGTTTGGATTTGCCTTTTTCTTTTTTTTTTTTTATTTGTTTATGCTTGTTTATTTTATTTCTTTTTCTTTTTAATTTAAAAAATAAGTTTTTTAATTTCATGAAAGTATCATGCCCAAGTCTGTTACCTAGTAGACGCTTGTTAATTGTATCAGCGCTTTAACTTTCGTATTCTGTTTTTACTTTTCAAATATAACGATGTCGAACATCACTGAACACATATTAATTTTTTAAGTGCAAATCTGGTGCTGTAAAATTGGTAATAGTCATGTCTGACTGTGACATGTGATGGAAAATATTCAAATGTGATTTATCATCCGTTTACCTTGTCTTGTAAATTCAGGTTGATACTCTTGTCAAGTAGTATTTGGGCCAATTGTTTTTGTCCGTTCCATGCGGCATGGTGAAGTGCAGATTGATCATCCTGGCGATAGAAATAAATAAAAAGATTAGCAAAACACTAAACTATAAATAAAGCAAGCATTTTATGAAACAAGATTGGACTTTTTCAAGCAACTCAGGCCCTACAGGGTAATTGAAGTAATTAAAAGTCTTGCCAAGTCACACATCTTAACTGAGCTGTTATTTATTGTTTGTTGTTCCGACGTTAACAATGAAAACAGTCAGTAAAATGTAAGCGAAGATATAAATAAACTGTACTAGCCCCCTATTGATCACCAACTTTGTCATGTTTTGATATGAGACTGATAATGTACAAAATGGACATCTGTTGCAGTACAAATGCTACCGTTTGTGCTATTTATGTTGCTATATTGAGAAAACGAAGGCCGTAGAAAGTTTTTAGCTGGAGTAAACATCAATTCATCAAAATCAATTCTGCTTATTTTCCAATTTTGACATGCAATGACACGATATACAACCATTAATTATGATTAAATTGAAAAATTGTAATATACCTCTATTATTTTTAATAATCATAGTAGTGTTAGACATTTTCATATCAGTTAAAAGTCAAATAACAAAAATACGGAACTCCAAGGAAAATTCAAATCGGAAAGTCTCTGTTCAAATGGCAAAATATAATTGTTCAGCAGGCTAATGTTTTTTTCATTTTAAACAATTTTCGTAAATAGAAATAGATTTCGTCTTTTTTTCGTTTTGTGTCATGGCGTTGTCAGTTTTGCATCAATTATACGTTTTAATGTCCTTTTTGGTATCTGCAGCCTCAACGTGTAAATGAATTTTAATCTTAAACGGTCATTTTGATCTTTAAAATTATGGAAACATTCCGAAGAATAAATGATTAAGTTATTCAGTCCTTTAGTCAATTTCAGACTTATCAACTAGGGTATTTTGTACTTTTCAGAAAATTTACTTGAAAGACAACAGTGACCTCTGCTCTACCTACACTAACGTTTTTGGTAGAAAGAATTAAGATAAGCAGACTTGCTGTATACCAGCATATTGAAAATGCGCCATGGTATATTCATCGTTTCATTAACAAAGCATTACTTTTTTAAAAATATTGAAAATTTTGAAACCGGTCTATATAATTTTGGGTCGCTACACAGAATAAAGAAGTCCGGGGGGAAATATCATGTAATCAAATTACACTTTTCATGAAACGTAATATCAAAACATAAGTGAATTCAGCAGACGCGGTTTTTTGCTATCCTGAAGATTTAAATATTTGCCTTTGAAGAGATTTATATGTGACCAATTATAAAAGTCAATTATTTTTTTACTTTTGTATATATCATATAAACAACTTACTTTGTCCTGTAAATTGATATCTATATGATGGTCAATAAGCAGACGTGCTATTTCTGTATTCCCATTATTTGCAGCAAGATGAAGAGCGGACGATCCATCCTTGATACAAAAACACGTTACAGTTATAAATAGTCATAGTATACATATAAATATAAAGACATCAATAGAGGTAAAGGAACTTAGTGTCGGAGCGGAATTGTGTTCCTCTACTCCTATAACTAAGAGTCAATTTTTAACAATTATTCTTAAGCAAGGAAACACATTTTGAAAGGTACTCATGTTCAACTCCATTAATGTGTTTTTCTTTCCTTGATGGTTCTCACGTAAACATCACATATTTTAATATCCATTCTAAAAATCGTTTAAATATAGCAAAACCTCTTTGGCAGATATAAATTACTGCCCAAACTGTAACTATGGTTTAATGATATATAAAGAGACTGTTTTTGGAAGTTGGATTTCCTTAAAAATAAATGATATTTTAGTGATATTTTCATTGCAGCAAAGCAGCCACCAATATGTTGAAATGACGTAAATTTGACACCGAAGTTTTTAATGAAACTGTAATCTTTTGCATCCAAATACTTTGCTTCACTGAGAGTCAAACTAGAAACAATCATGTCACTGCTATATCTCCTCCAAGGTCTTCTTCTAAACATTAGAACATGGTGAAGGTCCGTACTATGTGCTGCCTACATAATGTACACTAATAAAAACAAATCAAATATCGTTTTATTTCAGTTTCAGTGTTTTACAACAAATCTGTCTTATAAGTTATTTGGTTCCCTTACAAAAATTAAAGACCATGTTATTTACCTATGTAACAACAGGAAAACAGCATAGAAAAAAAAACTTTTTGGGGGGATTGTGGAAACATGCGTTGATGTTCGAGATGTATTACAAGCTTTTGTGCTCCTCTTTACTCAATTGATAGTTATGCAATTTATAAAGTGTTGTTTCCATTTTGTTTACAACACACTGGGTCGATGCTGTTTCTGGTGCATTATCCCCGAGGGTATCATTAGGTCAGCAGTCAGTATTTCGGTACTGACATGGTTAAAAACAATCTTTTCTTACATTGTCCGTTTATAAATTCATAAACTATTAAGAAACTAAAGTTTGAACTCCCTCATGCAAAGTAGATCGTAGTTGGATAATACTTTTATTTTAGATCCTATTTGATCGTATAGCTTTTCAACTGTTTCGGTTCTTATACATCCTGGGCTTTCAAATATTCAGCTTTGAGCGTTCCAGATGAAGGAAAATCAAGAAAAACGCTGCAAACGCATACAATTTATAAAGTGCTGTTTTCCTTTTTACAGCATATTCTCGATACCGCTGCTGATAGACTATCATGCCCCGAGGGTATCCTCAGCTCATTAGTTGGTACTTCGTTTCTGACATGATTTCTAACATTTATTTCTTAAATTTCTTAAATTGTCCGTTTATAGATTTATAAACTATTAAGAAACTAAGGTTTCAATTCCCTAAAGCAACGCTGGCTTTAGATGGATTTGGCTTTTATTTCAGGTCCTTGTTACTCAATTGTGTCGGTTATTATACATTTTCGGATTTTAAATATTCTGCTCATTCTCGTTCCGGATGAAGGTTAATATAGAAAAGATCTTTAAACGAATGCAATTAGTAATGTGTTATTTTCATTTGTTACCATACTGGGTCGATAACGCTGCCGATCAACTATCAGTTCCAGAGGAACACAGTAGTCAGTCTTTCGGACCTGACATAACTAATAACAAACTGTTCATAAATTGTCCGTTTATAAATTGATGCAGAAAATACCAAAAGGACAATAGAAATCGTTAGTCATCAAATAAACTATATATACCGAGATGTTTGCGACAGAGGTTAAAAAATTTCTAAAATATTTACCTAAAAAGTAAAGTTTTTAACCAAGATTGAAATGCAGGCTATTATCGACAACTATAAGATCCTACTATGTACTGGTGTTCTTAATACCACATATCCTTGACTAATTCAGTACGTATTTATATCCAGTTATTGTTGGATTATGATTGTTTTATTCTTGATACCAAACATGCAGAAGCCCGACATTACATACTATGACAAAGCTAGGTATATATATATATATATATATTACGCGGGTGCCTTGAATTCGCCACTTTATGTTGATGGTAAGTGCAACTTTGATGAGAGTTAGTCTCTACATTATACACAGCACATACAACTTGGTATGTATGTCTACATGGTCTACGTATGATATCAATCTGCATGTATACCGAACCCCAAGGAAAATTCAAAACGGAAAGTCCCTGAACAAATAGCAAAATCAAAAGCCCAAACACACATCAATCGAATGGAAAACAACTGTCATATTCCAAACTTGGTATTGGGATTTTAGCCTATCAAATACAAAAATGTTGATATTTTTGAACATTGGTCACAAATTGATTTTAAACTAAAGTCATAATTGATATAACAGAGCATCCAGATGTAAGCACAGCAGTAACACTAGTCAGCCCGTTATTGCGTGCGAATGTTGTTGACATGAAAAGAGTTTAAAAAAAGGGCCAAAGTAAGTACGAAGTTGAAGAGCACTGCAAATCAAAATGTCGGAATGTTTCGCTAAATACAGATAGGTAATATATTCCTGGGGTAGAACATCCTTGTTATTTTGACATGTTTGAAAAGTTAAAACAAAAGGATATCAAGTCGTTGATTAATTAAGCAAACGCCTGAATATTGTTTTGACCTGTAGACTACAATGTTTGACACGTAAGAGATTGCCATCGATCATTTATTTTGATAAAGCTTTTAATTTATCATATACCATATCCATCACTTACCTTCGCCTTTAAATTGATTTTAATGCCTTTTTCAATAAGTAGATGTACGATTTCTGTTTTCCCGAACCATGCACCACTGTGAAGTGCGGTCCAACCATGCTGATTAAAGAATTACATGACAATTATAAAATGACAGGATTAGACCAAAACTACGAATCTAAAGACTTGACTTGACTTGAAGTTAAGTTTCCAAAAATTGGAATAAGCGTATTGTCAAGCCGGTAGCCATATGTCGACTATTACAATCTACTTAAATATATTTTGACAAACTAAAAACCTAAAAAAGCAAGACATCCTTAATGAAAGGCAAACATGTATTACAAAAGCCAATATATTGTACTACTGCATTTATGAGTAATTGTCATTCTAAACTCGTTCAAATATGTGTTCAACTATACTATCTACCTACAAGATGACGTAAAGACATGATGTAAACGCTATGAAATGAGAGTTATCCTTTTGTCTATTAAATATTGTTTTATACAATATTTCAAAGTTAGAACCTAAAGTATCTAAACGATAGTATAACAAAATATAGAAAAAAAATATTGACTAGTTTAAACTATCAAACCTTTGAAATAACAAATATTTTAAATCTATATTGAGTAAAATTATCAAAATCTTGCAAATGATGCAATTATGTTATAGATAATGCATATGTTAGGGTTTTTCTTGTCGTATACCATACAGAGATGAGTCAGTCAAATGAAAGACCGATCGTAAGGAGGTCTTTCTTTTTGCATTCCAGACACCATAATATGTGGGTAAGACAAGAAAAACCTGAACATATTTATTATCTGACTTATATACCGTCATAAAATATCATTTTCTGCACAGATTTGCAGAAAATTGTTTCCTCTTTTACCGATCGCATAAATGTGGGAGATTCCTTTCTAATGCATTTATGTTTGTCTACGCCAAACTGCTCAACTATAATGATAAATCAAATTCACTAATCAAGATAAAATCGTAAGTAATTACTGTCCAGTTAAATTAAAATTCCACTGTTATCGCATAGAGCAAGAAAAAAAAATGAAAGTTTCGGTTGATGAAAAATACAATGTACTTTATAGGGGTTATATGTTTTGTACCGAAGAAAAACATATCATTGTTCAATAATGTTAAACAAACTTATTTAAAATAATAGTTTTCTATGTTTTGCCTGGTACTACAATTTTTCTTCAAAAAATAAAAATAAAAATTAGGGTAGAATATAATAGCCCTTCCATTGATATTTAATTATGTTTCTTTTCCCCTGTAGACAATGAGGTAACTTGATAGTGCAAAAGTTCTGGTAATCAAGTTAACTTGGTGTTGAGTTCAGGACAGCACCCATATGCACATTGACTTTTGGATATATTTTCTTTATATGTGTGAAGCACATCTGATTAAAAAATATTTTCCTGTGAAACTATAAGATTTCTGGTGCAAAATATCGGAAATGATTACGTGTAAAATAAAACCTATGATTGTACTTTGTATTTCCCTGGGAAACTTTTCATAAATACCAGTTGAATATGTATAGTTTCCCAGGAAATGTTTTTGTTTTCTATTGAAATTATGAATTTTCGGAAAACGAATATTTTCTTTTTGGCTATTCTTTTTCATAAAAAATAATGCTATATGATATATTCCTTTTTGTATCACTTCTAAATCAATCTAATTGATTGTTCGTGTAATCCTCTGAAATTATACTTGCACTGTTATGATGATTTCAATAAGTCATATTACATCATGTTTAGAAATCTGCGCATCCTTTTACACTGTATGTGGAAAAAAGTCGAATTTCTATTGTTTCCAAAGCAAAACACGTTCAACTTGGAAATCATTCACTTTGTTAACAACAACGACGTATATGAAGCATATTTTTAATATTCTTTTTTTTTCATGCAACAATTTTTAATTTGAATTACAATTGACAATAGTTAAAGTACTTAAATCAGATCTATCTACTAATTTCATCTTGACAAGCTCCAATGCAGACTCATATACCTCCCGAAATCATGTCTAGAAAGAGAGCTTGCCGAGTACGTAAGATACAAAAATGCCACAGTGATGTCCATTATACCTATATTTTTGTTTCTGTAATATGTTACGTAATTGTGGCATCATAAATAAAGACAGCAGTAGCATACCGCTGTTCAATGGTTTTAATTATCGCAAACATAAGCAGTTTCCAACTTATCTTTTAGTAAAGAAAAGAAAATGCGTATTTAAAAAAGTGAAAACAAAGACTTGGAGTATACATTAAATGGCAAATGCCTGTCTGAAAAACTATCGTTCCATCAGGAATTGGTTAAAATATTGGACTTAGGAATTTTGTTTCTCAATAGAAAAAAAATGTTTGAGATTGCCGTGTGACAGATCGCCAATTACAATTTAGTTTTTAGTTTGTTATATTGTTATATACAAATTACCATTTCCTGTAAGTTCATATTAATATCCTTGTCGAAAAGCAAATGGACAATTTTTGTATTTCCTTCTATTGTAGCAATATGTAGTGCGGTCAAACCATCCTAGAAAGAGAAACACATTACAGTTATACAACTAGCATTACCATTTAAAACAATCATTTGCAATCGAAGAGACACGGGACTCATTTTGATTTCGCCTGGTGAATCTTTCTTCTTTTGAGTATAGTGCTCCTCTGTCATCAGAGCATAATATTTCAATTGTCATATCAATAACTGGTAGACATTTATTCTTGTTTTTGTATTATACAAATGAATACTTGTGTATAGTAAGTTCAGTTAATTAAACCTGTTTTACTAATCAAGGTATATTTCAATTATGTACGCCATTATTCACAAGCTGCCCAATTGTGGCGTGATATTGTGAAATGTACAATATATACTATTTGGCACTGTTTTGAACTGTTTCACGCAGACAATGAGGACGCATTACGCGAACGATACGTAATGATGAGACTAGTAAATGTATTGCTGTTATTACCGTTAATTTGATCTTAACATGATCTTAAAAGTCTGAACCTGTAAGTGTCTGCAAGAGTTAATGTAATTTCTAAGACATTTTCTGGTTGTAATTTTAGACTGTTCGAATAATATGCTTTCATTCAATCCCTCCACTGCTCAGTGGCTATTCAATGATTGTTTTGTAGAGGTAGATAACACCTGAATAGATCTTAATCGACTGCAAAAAAATTATCTGAACAATGTTGAAGTTGATAAGAGTGAAAATTGACCGAAAGATTGAACAAGACTTACTACTTTATTGGTCAGCCTGTTGAGAGCTACATGTGTTCAGACTTAAATTTGAAGCTTCAATTCAAAATTTATTGGATTTGTATTCTTACTAAAAACAAATACTCTTTTTATATAATAAATCCATAACACTTTTTAGCGTGCATGTTTCGGGAAGTATAAATAGCTTCAATTCGTATGTTCTGCATCTAACTGTGATATAAGATTAAAATTCAGTCTTCGACCAAAGCTATACAAAAGGGTTAAAACATACTCCGTTTCAATACAAGTGATAGCTACAAACTTGGTTATGAAAACATGGCATACACTGTGCATGTACCGATCCAATGATCTAATTTAGTTTACACAGAATTCTATGCGACTGTTATACAAGTGAGAAGTTTAACTAGCTATAAAACCAGATTTAATGTACCATTTTCTACATAAGGAAATGCCTGTACCAGGTCAGAAATATGACAGATGTTTTCCGTTCGTTTGGTGTGTTTGAGCTTTTGATAAGGGACTTTCCGTTTTGAATTTTCATTGGAGGTCGGTTTTTTTGTTATTTTACTTTTTGCGAAATAGTAAAGTAATGTTTGTTTCTGAATTGCTATGGTTACTGTTATTTTAGGAAGCTGGAATGCTGACACATATCTTTTACTCAATTTCAAAGAAAGAAGCCAATGTATATTGTTGTCTGGAACTTACTATTATGTTAGCTACAAAAAGGAGAACAACGAATTTTTTTCTTACTACAATAACGGTATGGGGTTTATGAAGTACATATTGCATCATATATAATGATTCAATTATAATTAAATTTAACATATACATGACTACTAATTAAAGCCAGTTAGAACTTGCTTATACCTTTATATATATATATATAAATATGTGTTTATCTTCAACTCCAATTTCAATTAGGTGACTTAGTAACATCCGCAAGCAGACATCTCACTAAGAATCTTTGTAGTATCTGTGTATATGTGTGACGTGTTGGGATAGGCCAGTTACAGCTGGCATGCTAATTTGTTAAACAAGGGCTGTTTTTAATATTGCACTTTAAATGTATATTGTGAACATTTCGATTCAACAAATATGTTTACGTCAGTTGAAACGATGATTGTGTAGTTTTATGTGATTGGACGTTTTTTTTGTCATACAATGACATATCATTACATCAATGAATAAAGCAAAACAGGGAATTTGTGTCGTTTCGTTTTTTGTTCTCGTTTTGTGTGGGGAGTTAAAATTTCAGACATAAGTTTTAAATTCATGCATAGTTCTGTTTCTTTGTCCGTTTCTTGTTAGTTTTTTCAGCACTTCCACGTTTGTATTATGTTTTTTAATTTTCATATATTTTGGTGTTGTGTATTATTGAAGTAATATTTATGTTCGAAATGCAAATCTGGTGCAGTAAAACTGATATTTGTCAATGTGATTATCATTCATTTACCTTGTTCTGTAAATTGAGATTCATACCCGTGCCGCAAATCAACAAATTTGCAATTTTTGTATCTCCGTATTTTGTAGCAGCATGTAGTGCGGTCAAACCATCCTAGATTGAGAAACACAATGCAGTTATAAAATCACCAATACTATCCAAACAAAAGGGGTTATTAAAATAATTTAAACAAAAATAAGTAAAATGGGACACACTACGCTTTCGCCTAGTGAATCTTTTCTTTCTAGAATGAAATATACTTTTACCATAAAATATATCCAGTTTTCGAAAAGCAAATTAGATAAATTGGTATTTGTCGTGTCAGATTTTGACATGTGATTGAATTTTTTTTTTATGTGATTAGTCATCAGTTTACCTTGTCCTGTAAATTGAGATCAATGCCACCTTCAATTAGTAATTTGACGATTTCTGTTTTCCTGTTCAATGTAGCTTGGTGAAGTGCAGATTTTCCATCCTGAAGAGAAGATCGCATAATAATGTTAACATGGCATTGCATCATAAATGGGAACTGGCGTTATCAAAGAAAGAAAACAACTTACTTAGGGTCGCACTGAGCGTGTATTCAACACAATAAAAACACATGAGAGATACTAGGCTTATACTTTTGTACGCTAGACACGCGTTTCGTCTATAAAAGAATCATGAGTGACGCTTGAATCGAAAACAATATTAGGCAAAATAAAAAACCAGGTTGAAGAGCGTTGAGGTAAAAAAAAGTCCGAAAGATTTTGCCAAAGATGATAAAGGTCATCTATGACTGGGACGGAAATTCATTATTTCGAACTATTGAACGTTGTGTAAACAGTTAATTTATTAATACTATTTTATTAATGAAAAGTGATGTCAACACAAAAGTGCTGACTACTGAGCTGGTGGTAACCGTAATATTTGTACTTACTGCACTTATGTATTTTAATATTATTAACAGAAAGCAATCAGCCATCGATATCATAACATGTATACCTTAAAATATCATCATTTTCTTTTTTTCTCGCGGAACTTAGTGTAACATCAAAAAGTCTGTTTTACACAAAAGTAAACGACAACAAAGCAGTATAACAATGATAAAAATCCACACATATGCAACAATGAATATGCTAAATATTTATTAAAATATGAAATAGAACATTAATGTTGTTGTGTCGCAAAAGAGATGTACGGTCAGTTTTTAGACTGTAACGATACTTAATGTATTTATGATTTTGCTTAGTTTCTTCTGTTACATATGTTAACATCGGACTCGGACTTCTTTTAAACTGAGTTTTACTGTGCGTATTGCTGTTTGTTTGTTTATTCCACATTGGCTTAAGGTACAGTTGGGGGGTTGAGATATACAAAAAAATAAGTTTAACCCCGCCGCATTTATGCGATTCTCCAAATTTAGGAACGTCTAGCCTTTGTTTATCCGGTGTTTTTTTTTTAAATTCTAGGTCATTTATATTTTTCGGAGTTAAGTGTCGGGTCCATTTTTCTGAATTAGTATACATTTTTGTAAAGAGGCCAGCAGAAGCCCGCTTCCGATTGCGGGATTTTCCCGTTGCATTGAAGACCCATTGGTGGCCTTGGGCTGTTTTCTGCTCTTTGGTCGGGTTGTTGTCTCTTTGACACATTCCCTGTGTCCATTCTCAGTTCTATTTATCTTTGAATTTAAAAATCAAACGTATAACACTTCGTAAGTTTTAGACACAGATTGTTGTAGAAACGATACATTCTTCTTGTCCTAGGTTTTGACATTACCAAAGGAGATCAATCAACACAATTGTTTTCACCTTGAGAAATACAATGGGTGCCAAACGTAGAGCTTACCCTACCAGTCACAACTAAAGAATGGTGAAATGATAAATTTTTGTTTGAATTTGTATGTGTTTTGTCTTACCATTCTAAAATAATGTACAATGTTTGACTTTGTCTCAACATATTCTTAAATTCTTAATTATTCTTAAATTTCATTCTAAATTCTAAATTTGTCAAAACAGATTCTTCACATTCTGAATTTGTTCTATCAGATTCGTTTCATTCAAATTTTGTCCCAACATTTTTTCAACATTCTGGGTTTTTCTTAACAAATTCGTTACATTGAAAAAAAAGTCTTTTTGAAAACACTAGACTTTTGTCATAACGCAAATGCTTTTAATTATCATATCAAATTTTCGAAATGCAAATCTGGTGCAATAAAATTAGTATTTGTCAGTCAGACTTTGACATATTTGGTCAATGTGGTTTATCATTCGTTTACCTTGTCCTGTAAATTGCGATTAATATCACTTTCAATTAGTAATTTAATGATTGTTGTTTTCTTGTTCGATGTAGCAGAGTGAAGTGCAGATTCTCCATCCTGAATAGAACATGAGAAGACCACATAATAATGTTAACATAGCATTGAATGATCAAAATAATTAAAACAACTTACTTAGTGTCGCAATAAGACATTTTTATTCTTTTTTAATTCACGCATGTATTTTGATATACAATATAATAAACAAAAAGCATCAGCAATCCATTTTATAAATTTAAATGCATCATATATTTAAAGTGACGAAACAACTACGTGATTTGCTTTAGAATGGCATACGTAAATAACGTATACAGTACTGTTTGATATGACCTTGCTTGATCGGTGGCTGATCGGTGATGAAAAATTGACTGGTCTTTGAATGATAGATGATCGGTACAATAAAGCTTATTTGACTTCTCTGACGGATTATTTGTAACAGTTACCGTGACATCAGCGATCGATCAGTCAATAAATCAGATGCATGGATCGGATGTATACATATATAATTGAAATACGTATGTGAAACGAACCCCGCTTTATTACATAGGATAAACGCGGACCGCGACGAAGACACATTTACCCCATAATTTTTATTCAGCAAATTGCAATGTGATATAAAACAAATAATCATTTAAAAGCGACAAATTGTTATCATTTGAAATCAGTTTCCTCTTTAGCAAATATGCATTTAAATGCTATCAAATGAGTTCGTTTTCCTAGAATGTAAATAATTTAGGAGTAAAGATACTTAAAGTTTTGTTTGTGTTGAATAATAGTGGAATTTCTTCTTCAGTTTAACGGAAATGATATACCGTCATCGTTTTAACATTCTTTTAAAATGCCCGTATTTCTTCTTTTTATAAATTTAATGCACCGTTACCTGTAATCAGTCATTTGCAATGCCTCTTGGTGATGCATTTGTTTTTCAAATATAAATAATATCAGAAAAGAAGATACTTAAACATTGTTTGTGTTGATGACATGTTCAATTATTTCTTAATTTTAATGAAATTATGGACAGCCATTGTTTTTAAGTACTGTTTGTACATTAACAATGGTTGCTTTTCATTATTTAATGAATATCAGATGAACGTTACTACATTTTTTTTAAGTATTCATTATTTGGTTAAGAATGCCCATATTTCGTCGTTTTATTTAAATTCATGTACCCTTTTTTAGTTGTAATGTAGTACATAAATGGGACCTTTTGTTCTCTCGTTTGAACTGTTTTAATTTTCGTCATGTCAAGGCTTAGTGATATTTGAGACATAAACAACTAGTATTGTATTACATTTGATATATATTAATCATAATTGTTTTTTAAATTAGATAATTTATCATATATTGTATGAATGAACAAAATAACACAACGTTATATAAAGAAACATATCGCACCTGTATGGTATTGAAAAAAATATGTGTTTGATTGAAACAGAAAGCAAATTGTTAGCCCTCCGCCCATGAAGGGACCTTTTGTTCTCTCGTTTGAACTGTTTTAATTTTCGTCATGTCAAGGCTTAGTGATATTTGAGACATAAACAACTAGTATTGTATTACATTTGATATATATTAATCATAATTGTTTTTTAAATTAGATAATTTATCATATATTGTATGAATGAACAAAATAACACAACGTTATATAAAGAAACATATCGCACCTGTATGGTATTGAAAAAAAAATATGTGTTTGATTGAAACAGAAAGCAAATTGTTAGCCCTCCGCCCATGAAACACATTTCCACATCCCTCTCAACCCCGAAAAAGGCTGGTCGTAAAAACACAGTACTTTTCATTTGTATCATACTGGTGGTAGTATCACACAAAGATGACAGTTCTTATATTATTCATATTTTATACAAAATAACTCTTAAAGAGGCTTTTATTACTTGATTTATTTCACTTGACTGGGCGGGATTTAACCGGTTCGCTTATCATAAACCAGTCCATCTATAGACAGGTGTGTTTGGATAAATTCATCAATGAAGTGTCAAGTTATGGTCATTGATCCAGTTAAAATATGTAAACACTATAGTGAGACACAGCAGTTGGAATTCTTGTGTATAAGCATGTAAAAAAAATTGGAATTTGTGGGTATGCAGGTGTAACTATGATGACTGCAGTTACAAAATATGCATATGTCGTTACTCTATAACTTTTGATATACTTTTTTTCTTCCTTTCTTCCAAATGATTTTTTGGGGGGAGGGGGGCACTGGGATAAGTTGCAAATGGTACTTCGACCTTATTGATTTCCTTTGTTTTATAAACTTATAAATATTTAACTATTTTATTCATGCCATATCATACACTCGGTTCTTTTGAATATACGTTTGCTGACACTGATGGTGATTAGAAATCAGTAATAATATATTATAACGTGAATCATCCTTATCACACACATCTTCAAATAGACTGTACTTATGCAAATTAAAATGTAACCTCCGCCCGATCAGTTGAAAAATCATTGGTAATAGAATAACAAATTGCAAATAATGGTACATAGATTTTGATAAAAGAAGAAGGCATTGTTAAACAATGCAAAACACACTGTAAGTATCTTTTCTATTATATTCATCACATTTTATGATAAAATCCTACTGATACAGATGTACCAAAAGTACTACGAAAAAATGATGACTGTCTTCATCATCACAAACAAAAGTTTAAATGTCTTTACTCTTATACTATTCTCATTTTATAAAAATGTTTATTAAAATGCATGATCGCCAGTGAGTGTAAAAGCAAACACTTCCACTAAATTTGATATTCCTGACTTGAGATATAGAATGTGGTGGGGTTCAGCTTGTTTTAAGAGCACTCAACATGCTCACTAATCTGAGAAAGTCGTGTAACTGCACAACATATGTACACATTATATAATCCAGGTGAAAAGGACAACTACATTACAAACTAAAGAAGGAAATAAAATAGAAAGCAACCACTTCCACTAAATTGCATATTCCTGCCTCGAGGCTGGCACATACAGAATGTGGTGGGGTTTAGCTTGTTTTACGAGCGCTTAATATTTTACTAATCTGAGAACGTGTTGTACATATACAACATATTTACACCTTATAAAATTCAGGTGAAAAGGACTACTACATTACAAACTAAAAAAAGGAAATATAATAAAAATCAACCACTTCCACTAAATTGCATATTCCTGACTGGAGATAGGCACACAAGTGGTGGGATTCAGCTTGTTTCACGAGCGCTCAACATTTACACAAATCTGGGAAAGTGGTGTAAATGCACAACATATGTACACACAATACAATTCAGGTAACATTTAATTAAAACTGCAGTTTTTGTAGCAAATTTTGGACATCAGCGTACTCGACTGATTTTTTCCGCTAGGAAATACGTTAAGAGATTTTAATATATGAGTCGCCGTTCCAACTGATAGTGCCTGCATGCAACCAAGACATGTTAAGATATTTTTAAAAAAGGAGCCAAATTAAGACTAGATCAGGCACGTGGAAAGCGAATCATACCAAAGATCAAACATACTGTTAAAATTGTGTAAGATTGTGCTCAGCCGAGTTAACATTTCCAATATACTGACGGACTTTAGAAACGCAACACCTAAATAGATTAGACGTTATTAAATTAAATAAATGATACATTATACAAATTCATGGTACATACGAATATGTAATCAATCTTTCAACGTTACAGACTCAATTTACTGTCAATCGAGAAACCAATGACGTAATGTTCCGCGTTTAAGTACTGTGGTACACACTAACAGTCTGGTTTTCAATCTTTAGTATCATGTATGGCCACCGTTGTTCCGTAGGACAGCTTTTTATCTTGATTGCATTGATTGACAAAGGCTTCTGACTGGTGTGCGTGGAATGTTTTGCCATTCCTGTTGTAATGCGAGACCAAGTTCATCCGGGGTAGTCGGCGGATTCGGACGAGAACGCACGCGTCTGCCCAACTCATCCCACATGTGTTTCGATGGGATTTAAGTATGGAGAAAAAGCAGGCTATTCAAGCACATCTACTCCATCAAAATTCATATAGTTTTGAGTCAATCCAGCGGTGTGCGCACGTGCATTATCATGCTGGAACGTCAATTGATTTATGTGGCCATGCCGTCGTATCTCTGGCATTACAACTGGCTGCAAAATTCATCAATGTAGCGTCTAGCTGTTAATGTGCCATTGACAATAACCAACTGTATTCGAAAACTGGTGTTAATAGCGCCCTATACCATTACACCTTCGCCACCAAATCTGTCTCGTTGAAGTACACAGTTACCGGCGTATCGTTCATTTTCTCTTCTGTATATTCCCGTCTTACCGTCCGCAAAATTGACATTAAACCGTGATTCATTGGAAAACACAACGCGATTCCAGTTTTGCCTCTGCTGCAGTTGTTGCCTGACCCATTGTTGTCGATTTCGTCTATGACGCGGAGTCAAAATCAGTCCTTTATTTGGTCTCCTACAGTGAATTTGACGACGTTTCAGTAAACGGGACACAGTTTTAGCATTAATAGCTCTGCCATGGCGTCCAATTTTTTGGTTTGCAGTTGACTTCGCCGTCATGAATCGATTCCGCAAATGGCGCAGTCTGATGTCATTTCGTTGATGCGGCGTCATTACTTGTGGTTGGACGGGTGTAGGACGATATTTTACTGCTCCTGTTAATCTGTAGCGTTGAAATAAACGACTTATTGTTGAGCTGCTAACATTAAAATGTCTTGAAACAGCACGTTGACTCATTCCTGTCTGTAACATTCCGATGGTTTGATTGCGATTTTTATCACTGAGTCGCGGCATTTCGAAATCCAAAAAAGTTCAATTGGTTAAAGGAAGGGAAATAATGTAACACATATTTTAGACAAGAAAAAACCGGTATAAAATTTATTCAGCTGCCCGAAATCCCGCGTCACATATTCATGCTCCCCTCGTCCCGTAGTTACCTGAACTCCACAGGTAAGGCAATGATTGATTTTTAGTAACCAGATAGATGTACGACGAGCGTAAATGACAAAAAAAATATTTTTTTTACCATTGTCGAAGAAAATTTAGAAAAATAGTGTTGCGTTTCTAAATTCGGTCAGTGTAAAAAATGAAGCTATATATGCGAAATTAGTGAAATCTACAAATAGAATATATAATTCTAATACGTAAGAATAATACCTAATTTAGATTATTGTTATAAAATTTTGCGTCGTTTGAGGTCTTTTGATCCTAAGTTTAACTCCAAAATTTGAGCAAGTAAATTATTATTATGAGTTCAAATTTTACATTTTACATCTCGTTTTCTTTTGTCATAAACTATATTTTTAATTCTTTAGATTGAATGTTCTAAGGTGACTTGGCTGCGAACTTTAACATTTTAGTTTGATATTTCAATAACGTTATTTGAGTAGACCATATTGAAGGCAAAGATGAACGTTGAAACAAAACACAAACACGTGCACAATATAAACATCAAAGGGTGTATATAAAGCTAAATAAGAATATCAAAGCTCTGTCATTTTCGTTTCTGTTTTCTTTTAATTTATTTGGATGTACAGCATAAACACTTAAAAGAAATAACTGTTACTGATCGGAAACATTTTTTCATTTCCGTAGTTTACGACAGGAAACAAATTAGAAAATTATTGCACGTATCTTGCTCTCCCTACATGATAGACCAAGCGTACGGACATTTCGCGAACGACCTTTGGAAACAATATAGTTCTTGCAATGCATTAATTGATGTCATCTATCCATACTAGATTTTATTTCACTTTCTTACAGTACACCTGGTGTATTTGCATGTAGTTCGTTTCTCGCTTCAGATGTATTGTTGGCGTAGTTGTGTAAATATAAAAAAAGAAGATGTAGTATGATTGCCAATGAGACAACTCTCCACAAGAGACCAAAATGACACAGAAATTAACAACCATAGGTCACCGTACGGCCTTCAACAATGAGCAAAGTCCATACCGCATAGTCAGCTATAAAAGACCCCGAAATGACAAATGTAAAACAATTCAAACGAGAAAACTAACGGCCTCATTTATGTACAAAATTATGAATGAAAAACAAATATGTAACACAGCAACAAACGACAACCACTGAAATACAGGCTCCTGACTTGGGACAGGCACATACAGAATGTGGCGGGGTTAAACATGTTAGCGGGCATGTTAAACATGTTAAAGTATATTTCACATTCAAACTGAACTGTACGCTCATTTAAATACATATATACAATATTAGGAAAGAGCCGTTTAAAGTTTCGTGCCAAACACTAACAAAGTTTATATATATTTATGACATTGCTCTCATTTTGTTTTCATACTGCGGTCTCTGGCTATATTTATAGCTATTGTAATTGTAAAACATAACATTAGTTTCCCTCCCTACATGAACGTCTAATTGGGAATAACATGGACGTAATATATGATTTGAATTGTGAAGAAAAAAATCCCTTTGTTAATATTTAAAGGCAATAAATTCATCAGGAAGTGTTAAAGTTAATAGGATAATTTATTCTTAAAGTTCAGTTAAACAACTAATACACAATATCGAATAAATGAAAATATTATAACTGAAAGCAAATTTCTTTAGGGGACTACACTGTGCAACAACCAACGTATCAATCGCATGACCGGACAATCATTATTATAAAAAAGTAGCTTGTTTCTTTATGTATCGGCATATACCAAACATGCACAGAGATAGGTCTTTGTTTTCATCGACGTTTTAAAAGCCGAAATAAAAAAAAAAATTTGAAAACATCCGTACCAATTTCAATAATAACAGATCACACTAAACCTTAAGTCTCGAACACAGAATCAAAATATGAAAATATGAAGATGTGCCGGATCTGTTTGCCAATAAGCAAACTGTCCGCCAGACCAAATAACCAGATGTAAGCAACACCGTACGGTATTAAATAATTAGCACAGCATATGTAATAATTCAAACGAGGAAAAAAACGTACTTCAGTTTCATCGGGAGAAAAAAAATGGATTAAGAAATGTTCTAGCTGTTATCAAATAGTCCGTTTCTATGTATGTTCGCGTTTGTTTTTGTTGCAGTTCAGTGTTTATGTTGTTCCATTGTTTTCCTCTTAAAGTTGATGTGTTTCCCTCGGTTTTAGTTTGTAACCCAGATTTGTTTTCGCTTAATCGATTTATGACTATTGAACAGCGGTATACTACTGTTGCCTTTCTATATGCCTTAGAGTAAACTCCCATTTATACTTAAACATCGAGAGAGTTTGTTGAAAAATAAAGTTTTATGACAGAAAAAAGACACTGTTTTATCCAATTAACTAACCCAGCACTGTGTTTATAAGCTTTACGCTAAACTGATCACACTTCTTTTGTTATAAGAAGTGTACCTACGTATCGCTTCGCTCGTTGGCATCTGAAAAAGACTCTCTCCAACAAGTTCGCGTTCGGATGTTGTCAAATACCCGTCAATGCGATCGTGTTTAAGACGAAGAACACGCGCTCGTCGTTAGCAAGTCCGTCATAAATGAGTACTGTAAAAGAGACGAGCCACCTGTAGCACTTAATAAGGAAAAAGACAAATGTATAACGAAGTCTTGACCGTAGAATTATGTTATGTACAAACAGGACAATATCGACTTCTGCTTATTCTACATCATGATATGTGACGTACATGTTACATTATAGTAACGTTTAATTTTGTTACGTTTTATGAACTTCCTCTTTTTGAATTTCACTTTTGAGTTCTTTTTTTTTTCGTCAATACTTTTGTATAAATAAGGCATTAAGTTATAGGCGAACTAAAACATGGAATGTATGATTGATACTATTTCAGTGTAATTTATCATCCACTTACCCAGTTCTTCAAATTACAATCGATACCCCGTTCAATAAGCAACTTGACGAATTTTGGCAGCTCGTTCCATGCAGCACGATGAAGGGCAGAACTACCATTCTGGATATATAAAACATGACAATATTTAGATAACTTTTATTGATAAAGGAAGTAGAACATGTCATCAAAAAAGTAAAACAACTCAGCGTAACAAATCAACACGGAAGTCGATATCAACGTTTAAACGGGGAAATTAGTTTGAGCACATTCTGTTTTGTACGATATAATAAGAAAATCAATCTCTTATCGATATTATAAACTGAATCCTGTTTTCTTTCAAATTACGGACAATTGGCAATTTGCAGTTCAGACTATGATTGTGAGATTTATATTCACTCTGATTTACTCTCTGACATGTTTATGGATTGATAATTGATTAACATGTATTTCTAACATCATATCCTCCTTCTTAACAGTACAAACCAAAATCGGATGGAATTTTTAAGTATTTAAATTCAGTTCTCAAAATGAGACTATATTGACAGTTTAAGAAATTTCAAATACAATATTAAAGTACTAACTGAATCAATAAGGAACAAAAAAATCAAACAATTGAAAAGTTTAATTTTTAAATATTCACATTACTCACCCTGCCTTGGTAGTTTATTTTTGCGCCTTTTTCTAAACACAGTTGAAATTTCTCCTCGTCTCCACAAAAAACAGCATTCAGTAGATCCTGTACAACATGATACAAATTATTCATAGTTGCTACAACGAAGATACAGATCACATATTCAGGCGGATATTTAGTTGAAATAAATTAAAGAAATGGAAATCTTTATTAGAGAAGGTAAAACAGGCCAAAAGATGTAGTTGAATTGTTTACATAGATCTGTTTCTATGGGCTTCAAAAGATTTATGAAGGTGCATAATTTAGGATGTTATGCATCTTATATACGTCTTTTTACTTAAATTATAGTATGGAGCTTCGAGATAATGTAAACTTTTAAATCATAGACAAATTTTCACAAAACAGTCGATTGTGGTAGGTGTGAATACATGTGGATCTTTTTTGTGCATAAGCATAAATTCCGCCAAAAAAAAATCAACAAAAAATATAATAGATAATTCCGTGAATTTGTCTTTAGTTTATGAGTAGGATCATTACTTGCTATGCTGCAATCATTAATAAAAAGCGTAACCTTTTACAAACATAGTATTTTCAATTTCTACCAAAGCACTAAGTATTTGTTTTACCTCGCCAAGCTGTTTCTGTCTTTGTGATGAGATCATTGTTAAACAATCTGTAAATAAAGATGATATATATTGATGTATATTGAAAATTGTCTTTTTTTACTTTCCATTATTTCGCCAATAGAATAGAAAGGAATACATGGGATCGAAGTAAGACTATCAATTAAATAGACTGAGCATTAATCAAGAAATTGAGATTTCTATAATTATAAACTACTTAAACAAACTATATATTAATCAATCAGCAGTGATAAATATGCAACAAACTGATACTTGTAGATATGTTTCATAGAAAGAATCAGTTATTCTGGCACAGTACAAGATATTCACACATTACAATGAAGTTAACACACATTACACATTTCTCAACATTTCATTCAAAAATGAATGATAACATTGTACATGTTGTACAGATGGATAACATATTAAATAACAACTTATTCATTAAATAAGTTTATAACACTATTTATATGTCAACAGTAAATCCTGCAGAATGATTTGAATTACACAGAAATGTAATGTTTTTTGGCATTTACAGTCACATTGCAGGGGTGTGCATGAATTTCAATGAAAAGAAGAAATGGGAATTATTTTTTAAATGTGAGCATTTTATTATTTGTAAAAAGTAACTCTTATATTCATCATTAGTTAAAAAGAAAAAAAAAACAGATTCACAAAACTGTTATTATCCAATGACGATTGATGATTTTCCTTATATCAAAAACAAAAACAACTACACTTTTATTGAACTCAAAGAAAAGTTTAAGAACCTGTCTCCTTATAATCTTTGATTATTTTCACATTTCATTAAATCAAAACTCTTCAAGAGGAACTAAAATGACGAATTTCAAATAACTGTGTATGACTTCAAATAAAATGGAAAAAAAGTTGACATATCGCAACTTATCTTGAGAACTAAAATGATTGATTGCACACATTTTTACATGATTTTCAAAAAAGGAAGCACCATAAGCGCTATAACACAATGGAAGCATACGTGTATTAGAAGTATCTTATTTGTTCTTATTTTGATCACATAAAATAAAAAAATAACCCACAGTGTGAACACGAAGTATCTCGTTTAGTATCGTGTCATTTCATTTTTTTATTTTATTTTATTTTTTCTGTATGTGATTTATACAACTACAGATACTTTTTATTCTTTTCTCCGTGGGATATATACAACTAAAGATACTATTTTCATTTTCTTCTGTGTGTGATTTATACAACGACAGATACTATTTGTATAACATTCATTAAGAGCGTCTAGGATTGAATTGCAATTATGAACCGTCAACAGTTATTTGTAATTTGTTTATATAATATATCAATTCTGGACAAAAGAGGATATACATTACCAGTGGAGGTGTCTTCCTCGAGGTCAACCTTTGTCGCGTGTGCATGTACATAAGATTGATTAAATATTGTGAATGTTTTTTTTTTATTTTGTAACAAATATATACGTTTTATTCCTCAATTTTTTCTGTATACAATTGCCTTAGGTGTCCAGGTAGCAGAAGGCAAAAGATCCCTGGTTACGAAAAATAGCCATCGATCCAAGGAAAATAGAAGCTTTAACATGAAGTCTATTTTTTTATCTTGGATTTACAATTAAGTTTCAAAAATATATCTATGAATAGCTTGTGGCGTTACTGAAATTTTGATGTATTTTATAGAAGTTTTAGAAATATTGATTGATTGTGTTTTGAAAATTGTCATATTTTAATTTCCGTGTGTTAATTGCTAATAGTGTGTCCTTTTCAACAATTGGATCTGTATGATAAGATAAGTATTTCTGATAGCTTCTTTAAAATTAACTTTGATGTACTGCAACTAAAAAATAAGTATTGCAGAATTTATGTGTTATTGTCATTTTGACACATATGGCAGTTTCCATTTGATAGTTTTTATATTTTACCTGTAGTATATAGTCTAAATTCGTTTACTTTATATTCAATGATAATTTGTTTTAATCCCGACCACAAATTTGGAGATACATCTTCATTTAATAACGTACGAATATATTGCAGATTGAGCTTTAACGGTTTTCTTATTTGGTTGATCAAGTTCATAATCTCAAAGTCATTTGACAGCTTTAGTTTTTTTTTCATTATGCAAATTCTTGTTTCCGTAATATTTCAAAATTGGAACGATATTTTTAGGACTTGCTTTTTATTGCTTGAAAATTTGGAAATACAGTATCTCCTATCAATAAGCTTTCTATAAATTTCATTACAGCTTATAAAATCAGTAGTTTTTTCAATTCGAAATGTCCCTGATAGTTTTGATTTTGCTTTTAAAAGATAAAATGTATAACAATGGTTCAACAAAATAGAAGAGTTTCCAAATATATTCGTATCTAAAACATGGTGTATTGATATTTTGTATGAAACATGATTTTGTATTTTTTAATTTTATGATGAAATTGTGTTAATTGATTCATATCTTAACCATTCAAATTTAAATATGTACATAAACAAAGGGCATCATTGTATTTTTCATCAAATTTCTGTAGCCAATACTTAACAATTACATTTCAGCTTTCCAATTGTTCCTGCAGTCAGGATATACAAGTTTTGTTTGTTTATTTTAATGAACAGATTTATGTTAACCATACTCATCCTTCCTTTTATTTTAAAATTTTGCAAAAAGTCAGATAAAAAATTCAAAATCATATTATTTGGCTCGTCAGTACATTAATCCAGAATTCCTCGTATTTCATATTCTTAAGGTGCAACACCACTAACTGAAGCCCGGTTAGAAAGCACATACCAGAAAGTAGTACATATTTAACAGAAATTCGTTCATGGTATCAAATGGTATCAAATGAAAGCTGAATGAATGGTTAGCATTGTAGAACACCTTTTGACTTATGAAATGAATGAAATAAAAATTGCATGAAATTTAAAAAGAAGTATACATTTTTGCCTGTTTGTCAGATCTGAAGTACCTGTTTTGGTACATCCGAAGTTCCGGGAACCAGTTTTCTCTTAAATGCAATTAAAGGTATGTTGATTTTTTCAGTACAAGACATCATAAGGTGTTGCTTTGACATGCAATAATTGTCACTGTATTGAACTTAAGACAAAAGAGCTGTACCTGCTTAAAATAGGGGAATTTAACATACTAGTAGAAAGCAACGTGGCCATTAGTGATGTACTTCCTATTACAGAAAATCATCAGGAATTCAATGTTTAGAAGTTGCACCCATTCCTATGAAAATTGGTCATATTTTATGTCAGTTATCATGTTTTGTCAATTTTTTTGGATGTACAATTCTGTTTATTGGAAATGGCAGCTTTAAATTGCTACAATAAGGTATTTCAGCCTTTTTTGGTCATACAACATGCATATATTTAAGACTTAACCTAACGTGCCAATTTTGGCATCATTTTGATTGAAAACAATGAAACATATATGTTTTAACTTTTTTATAGTAAAAAGATAGCTCTTGTTCAAATAATCCTATGCTTGTTCAAGTTTTATTGGTTTTCTTATGGTAGTATTCCATAATTTAGGCAATTGGTTTATACTCATATTTGAATTTCAAAATGTCACTTTACATGTAATTTGAACCAGTTTAGCAAGTTATTCAGCTGAGTGATATATAAAATGCTCTTAATAATCAACGAAATACCACAGAATTATGGTTTATACCACAAATGTCCCTTTTCCAATTAAAAGAAAAGGGGGGGGGGGACAATATTCTCAATTATGTCTTAGGTTTGGACTAATATATTTTTATTTAATGAACAATTTCTGATAAAAATATGACTATTGGTAAGAACATTGTTTTCCTTGTAGAAATGAACAAATTATAACTGCTGATATGAAAAAAAAAACATATTGGCCATTGGTAATATCCATATGCAGTTTTCTTTGCTTAACCCATATGTTACTACCAGTCCAATTTGAGCTTAAAATTAGTAAATTGGTTTCGACTAAAGCTTTATATGTTTTTTATTGATAGAAGTAGATCATAGAATGCAATTAAGTAATGCAGAAGTCAAAATAGCAAATTTGGTTCTGTTACAGATGTAACACCACTAATTCGGGCCCGGTCATAAATCACCTACCAGAAAGTAGTACATATTTAACATCAAATAATTCCTACGCATGGGTGTAACGTTCAATATATGTAGAATATTTTGGTAACTTTGGTATGAAATGAAAGCTCAATGACTGGTTATCACTGTAAAACACTTTTAAACTGATAGTTTTGAATATTTAAAAAAAAGCATGAAATTAAAAAGGAGGGTACATTTTGCCTATTTGTCAGATCTGAAGTACCTTTTTTGGTTCATCCGAAGTTTCGGGAACCAATTTTCTCTTAAATGCAATTAAATCATGTTGGATTTTTCAGTACAAGACACCATAAGGTGTTTCCTTGACATGCTCTTATTGTCACTTTATTTGAACTTAAGATAAAAGAGCTGTACCTGCTTAAAATTGAGTAATTTAACATAGAAAACAATGGGTCCATGAATTAATGGCGTACTTCCTTAAGAATAGATATAAATTATGATATTTTTAACTATTTATCATGCGGTTCTGCGGTTTACATGTTGTAGTGTACTATTGTATTATTTATTTATGTATTTCTCTGTCCTGAATGTTCTTGCGTTTATTTGTACTGTATTCCTGTCACGAAGTGTTGTCATTTTAACGTATTTTTAGCGTTGCCATATAAGCAGGAGGTTTGGCTAGCCATAAAACCCGGTCCAACCCACCATTTTGTCTTAAAATGTCCTGTACTAAGTCAGAAATATGGCAGTTGTTATTAAATACTCCGTTTCTATGTATGTTGGCGTTCGTATTTGTTGCAGTTCAGTGTTTTTGTTGTTCCGTTGTTTTCCTCTTATAGTTGAAGTGTTTCCCTCGGTTTCAGTGTGTTACCCGGATATGTTTTCGCTTAATCGATTTATAACTATTGAACAGCGGCATACTGCTGTTGCCTTTATTCATAAACAAATAAGGGACGTAAATACCTTACATGTTACCTTTCAAGGCTAGCGTATATCGTCATTGTGAGAACGAGATTATCAGTAAC